GCCTTAATTCATTAATTTCAATTGTCTAATGGAGTGACTAAGAACCCTTGTTCAAAATGCATTTTGATGGAGATCATGTGATTAAAAAATAAGAAAAGTGAATTTATGCTTATATTATCTTATTGAAGAATGTGTGGTTGAAAATGAGAGAGAAAAAAATACATTTTGAAAATAATGAGGACGTAACCATAACTAAAGATAGATGTCTCAATTGAGATTTTCATGATAGTTGGTAGACCAAAATGAAATTAACCAATTTAATGGAGAAGAAAAATTTCAACGCTTGAAAAGCACAAACCCTAAATAATCAATCAATCAATCCTTCGGATATTTTACTATTTATTTGTGCTGGCAGAAATATGGAAACCACTTGGAAACTACCTCCGCCTTGTTCATTTTGTCTTTCCTATCTCTCTGTTCACACCTAGGTTTTTTCCTCATTGTATCCTCCTTTCGAACCTCTCTCATTTTTCTAGATTTATTATACAAAAAAACTTGCTGTTTTTTTAAGGTAATTTCTCCTTGGATACATCGAATTATCAACAGCTATATCTGTTGTGTTATGGGTCTGAATCGCTGACTGCGCTAATCTGCAATTTTCTTTCTGTATTCTTCTTGTTCTAGATTTATTAATCCATGAAGAAAAACTTTCCGAGATGTTAATTTTCTTACTTTTTTTTTGTTATTTCAGAGAGAGAGATTAAAGATCCACTATTTCGGATCAAAAACATTAACGATGTTTAGAATTTTTTATGGTGTCTATTTTTCAGGGGAAAATGAGTTATGGTCGTTGGTGGCTATGTTTTGTACTTTGTTTAAAACTGTTAAATAGTATATTCACAGCATATTCTAGTTAATCTTTGAATTTTTGGTATCCTTTGTGTTTTAACTTGATTAATTTGAGTGTTGGGGTTGATTTCTTTTTAGATGTTCATAATAATGGCGATATTTGAATTTAATTTAAATTTACGGTTTCTTTTTCTGTTTCTTTATTTTAATTAAAATAGCTAATTCTCGTTGCAGTGTTACTCTGTTTGGACTCATGCCAATTCCGGGAAATGAAGAGGTTTTCATCTGATTTTTGATTACTTTAATTTAATGAATATGTTATTTAAATTCTATTGTTAATTCTTTTTTATTTTCAGCATGGGGTACTTCCACAGCAGCAACAGCAGCAGGAGTCTAGTAATTCTTCTGCAACTATTCCTATTAAAAAGAGGAAATTTCCAATAATTCGGTCTCCTTCTCCGTCCCCTGAAGAACGACTGTCCGCATCCTTGGACAATGATGCAAATAATATAGAAGACTTCAAAAGCTCAGGTAAAGTGCCATCCCTGGATGCTGCTATTGATATGTGTTCATCTGGTAAATCTGATATGAGCAAGAAATCTGTTTTAACTGCAAATGATGCGAGTCCTTCTGGTAAATCTGATATGAGCAAGAATTCCGTTTTAGAAGCGAAGAAAGAAAAAGCGACTGATACAAATGTCCACTTGCTGCAAAACAATTTGGACATTTCTGCTTCCAAGCCTCAAGAGACTGAACGTTGTGATAGTTTAGGTTCTACGGATGGGGTAGTGAGTAAAGTGAATCTCCTTTCGAATGAGAAATCTGCAGGATCAGGAGTTCTAGGAAACAATATGGGTGCTATTGTAGTGAATGTGAAGAAGGAAATTGACAGCCCACAAGTTGAAGGTGATTGTAAACCTAATTTTTCTACTGGTTCAGGAAATGTGGAGTTTTTAGTGGAGCCAAAGGAACCACTTGTTCCTGCTTTGGAACCCAAAAATAGTGAAACGAATCACCAAAAATTTGATAAGTTAGATTCTTCGTTGTTGAATTTGTCTTTGTACAGAGACCCGCTCGTTACCCGTGAAATTAGTGGTGATGGCTCAAATAACGTTAGCAGTCATGTATATGCTAATAATAGGTCAAACTGGGATCTAAATACTTCGATGGATGCATGGGAGCCTTCTGTCGAAAACAATGCACTTCTTCACAATTCTATTGGTAATGGCAAGTTCAATAATAACCGTAGTGGGCATGATTTGAAACATTCTTCACGTGCGGTGGGTACAACTGATTTCAGTTTGAATAAAGGGAAACATGTTTCGCATGAGCGTAGTTCAAGTTTTCCTATTTCATCTGTACGGCCTAGGCATGAACATAAGCCTGAGGATTCCCTTTGTCTTAGTCTTGGTATACCATACAGGGAGTTGAACTCCAGTAGGGATCATTCTTCTTTATCAGATAAAGTAGACTCTGTCAGGGTTGACTCAAACTCAAAGCTGCAAACAGGGCAGCTATCAACAAGAAACATGAATTCTGTTAGTTGTAGAGCTGTGAAATTGGAAACCGTTGACGAGAATCTGGAATGTAGTTGTACCGGTGGTGCTAGCAGTACAATGGAAATGTCGAGGCTTAGTTTGATGAAAAGGGAACTTATTGAGAGTTGTAGCTCAGAAACAGTAGTACCGTCATCTAGTAACACACAGAAAGTAGTTGACACAAGACCAATAAAATCTGAACTGTTTCAGGTGTATAACAAGGAAATAAGCAAACCTGCAGATTCTATTCTACCCCAAGAGAGCTGTGCATCTTCATCTTTTCTATCTATGCCTTTGACCCCTCTTAACTCGTGTCCCTCCAGGTTGCCAACCTTTTCAGATTCAACCGCAAGTGAGGGTTTATCATATCAATCTGAACATTCTTTCCATACTAAACACTTTTGTAACAAAAAGGATATACCAGATGAGCCGATTGATGCTGTGATCCCTAAACCTGTAAGCCAGAAAGGCGAAGAAACAAGCTTGCACTGTGAGAATGTAGAGAATTTGATTGCTGAAGATCCTGAAAGGTGCAAACTGAATTGGGTTGACGAGCATCCTAGGGAATTGCGTGGAAACAGTGAGGTATCTGCCAGTGATGAGGAAAACACAAACTTACCTACCGATATGCCTGGAGCTGATGCTTCTGGAACTAATGGAATTCATGCTTTTACCAATCACAAGGGTATTGAGAAAAGGCGACCTGACAAAGAAGATGAAGATTATGAAGATGGCGAACTTCGAGAATCGCTAATGCATCCAACAGTAGAAGATCCAAATGTTGACAAACAGGAAGAAAATGTTAAACTTGTTGAGTGCGATACAAGAAATATGGAGTCTTGTGTTTTTTCTTCTGATAAAAATTGCAACATATCTGATTTTGATGGAAAAGCCACTGTATTGGATAATAATGATAAGACGAGTAGCGACCAAATTAAGGAATGCATCGATATGGGTCCCAATGAGCGTGATGGTGAAGATGGTGCTCTGCAAAAATCATCACTGGACGAAGTTACTGAAGTTGGACTTGACATAAAGAGCTCTAATTTTGTATCTCCAGAGAAACAAGTTAATCTTTCGGGAGGAGATCATGTTGAAGAGGGTGATAAAAAGGAAGCCCTTGGTGAAGGGGCAATTAATGAGAGCCATGGGATGGAGGCGACACTAGGTGAGAAAGCCACCAGTGAGAGAATTAAAGAAATCTCTCTAGGAGAGAATGATTCAACTCTGCCCAAGGCTGAAGCATCTGTAGATAATAGTAGTAATAATAACAATGCTGCTATTTCTTCCAACAATGCAAGCAACAAGAGCCGCATCATAAATTTACCTCGTAAGTCTGTTGCTGCATCCCCCTGTAAAACAGTGTCTATTCCGGGTAGGTTGTCTTCACGAAGTGGAAAAGAAAGATGCTCTGATCTGGAGGGGGAGATACAACGTGGGAATAGGTATATTCTTGTGACCTGGCACTTGATTGGCGTCTTCATCTGTTTTTTAATAATTTTTACTTATATTATCTTCTCTATTTTCCTTTTTACAGAGGTGAAATTTATACTGATGGTCCAAAAAAATTTGTGAAAGATTGGAGTCAACACCAGTCATTTAGAAATTCAAGATCGAGTTTCATAGCTCGAAGAGGAAGGTTATCTGGCAGGTTTGGCCGGTTACACAATGAGTGGGACTCTAACCATGAGTTTGCATCAGAAAGTTACAATGTCAAAGCTGATTATCAGGATTCTAGACGTAAGCACGCTTCTTCAATTGCTGACATTGAGCTCGATTATAATGGTTATGGTATTGCACCGGATAATTCTGCTTTGAGTGGTGGTAGAAGGAAGGCCTTGAATGATGAATTGCACCGTCCATCTGCTAGGAGAATATCTCCCAGAGGTAGAGATGGTCCTACAATGAGAGGCATTCCAATGCTTCGTAGAATTCCTAGAAATGTTAGTCCAAGTAGATTTGCCGATGAACATGGTTCAGACATGGTTGGATTTCGTCATAATGAAAAGTATATTCAGGAGTTATCAGATGATATTATAGATCCTGTATTTACTCGTCCACAAACCATGTATGATGAACTTGATGATCAGCTTGTGCGAGGGAACAGGAACTTCTCTACTTTGCAGAGAAAGGACTACTCTCGGGCCCGCTCGAAATCTCCTATTAGATCCCGAACACGGTCACCTGGGCCATGGCCATCTCCTTGGAGGAGATCATCACCTGATGGGCATCCACAATTACCTCAGCATAGATCTCCAACTATGTATAGGATGGGGAGAATGAGGACTCCTGATCGTGATTGTTTTCCTGACGAGGTTGTTGGTAGAAGGCGCGAATCTCCAACCTTTATGGCTCAGCCTTCTAATGACATAAGGGATGTGGATTCTGGACGGGAACATATCCTACATAGGTCTGTTAATTCGAATAGAAGAACTCCACCTGGACGGGTATTTCCCAGAAGCACTAGGAGAGTAAATGTGTTGGATCCTAGAGAGAGGGCAGATGGTGATGACTATATGAGTGGGACAGTACATTCTAGTAGATATCATGATGCGAGTGGTGATGACAGAAGAAAGTTTGGTGAGAGACGGGGAATGGCTCGTTCTTTTAGGCCTGCTTACAACAGTGATAATGATAATGTCCATTTCCATCATGTAAATGATGGCCCCAGGCCTTTTAGGTTCCGTCCTGATGGAGAAACGGATTTCATGGAGAGAAGCACCATAAGAGAGAGGGAGTTTGATGGGCGCATTAAGCATCAGCCACTATTTGTATCAGGGCGAATGAGAAATATTGAAGAGCAACAGGATGGGAACCACAGGCCCAGTGGGCAGCAGGTTTGGCATGATCAGGGATTCAGTGATGTCTCGAGAGTGAAAAGAAGAAGATTTTAACTCCCATTTCACTGCAGGAAAGAGTAGCTGTTCATCGTAAATGTTATTGCAGTTTCGACTGAAGCTCCACAAGTTGTAGACAGATGGATAGCCCGAAATTGGCCTTGAAATTTGCTATGTTGCATTGTTTACTCTCTGAAATTAGCAACTTATGCCAGATGCTGAGATAAGAAATGAGCTTCCAAGTATCCCTACACAACAGTTGTGCTAGATGTCGTGTTTTAGTATATGCTCATAAATAAATCAGGTAAGTTGATGATGTTCCCTTCGTTGTTTATTCGACCTCAGTAAGGTTTATGCATGCTACATTTACCCACATAATAATATAAACGATCCGGGGAATTAATAAAATATGAAGAGTTGAGGCATCCCATTTCGCGGTAAGAATAACAGAGTGTGGAAATGTGGTTGATTTGCATCTTTTAAAACTTTATTGCAGTTTTTTGAAGGAGAATCCAGGATTGAGTTTGGTTGAGGAATGATTGGAAGCATGCTGGTATTGCAGTGTGTACTGGAGATTGTTGCGAGTGTGGTTCCAGATTTTAGTAAAACCCGTTGCGTGATTTGGGATAATAATGAAAAAATTAGCTATAACATGTTTGGTCTCCATTTTCTAAAACTCAGTTCTTTTTTCCCAACCATACTATTCATGGGATTAACAATTTCTATCAATTTTTGAACTACGTATTTCATCAAATTTTATTTTTAACTAAATCAAACGGGGCCACATTTGAAAGTGCAACCAGATGCTGCTGGTTATAACGTTGGTCTTCATCAACTAGTTTATAATCGACAGATTTCACTTTAGGTTTTCGACTTGTTGTCCAATAGCAAGTTGGTCCCCAACCTTTAAAAAGGGGTAATTTGGTTTTTCACTTACTTCGATAACACAAATTTGTCGAATTATATTGTATCCCTTGTGTATCCAGTTGTGTGAAGGTTTGTTTCTTTGATTGTCTGTCTTTGAAGTTAGGTATGTTTACGTGATTGTTACGTGATAATTGTTTTCGTAATTGGAGGCTCATTATGCAGCAACACTAAAGAGTTGGGACTAATTTGTTTATTTTTAAAAAGTTGAGGATTAACTTATGAATAAGACAATAGGTTGGTGACTAACAGTAGAGTTTTACCTTTTAATTATATGTCCCAAAAGAAAAAAAAAACATAGTACTTGGAAGCAAGATTATAATTAAAGTATGAACTTACGTATGCGTAATATTAATAAAAAGTTTTTTCAATTTTAATATTATTTTAATCATTCTACACCAGTAAATAATTAAATAATGCCATCTTGAAAATTTAAAGAAACTCAGCGACAATCATTACGTTAAAATTTATATATATATATATATTTATTTATTTTCAATCATACATTCACACAATAAAATATTTCATTATTGAATATAGATTCACAATTGTCTTACCGTCTTAAAATGATAATGATAAAATTATTAAAATTGGAATTCTTGAAAATTCTATATATAGATTGGAAGAATCTTTTGGATGCGTGAGTGAATTCAAAGAGAGAAACTTGAACAAGGTTTGAATATTCACCAGTCTAAATTTCAACATGAAATTTGTTGAATAATTTGGTAATAAACCACTAATTTTTTTTAAATTAATCACGTGTTATGTATACACAATTTAAATATTGACACACTTTATCAATAAAAATTAATCGTTATAAATGCATAAATTAAAACAAGATGTTAAATATAAAAATTTCGTATTTGCATATAAACAAAATGAATAATGCTACTTATATATAAGTAGTTATATAATGGTTTACATACAGATGATATGTTAAAAAAAGAGTCAAGAAATTTTATTTATTAGATTGAAGAAATTTTGATCCAATTATATATTACTATAATAATGTATGTAAATTATTATGTACGTATCGAACCAAAATTCAGCTAGAAAATAGTTAAGGACGGCAAAGATGTGGGTCAGGATGAGAATGGGGCGACCCTTCTTATTCTCGCTCCGTCGGGGATATGAGGGTCTGGGGACGGGATAGGAGTGGGTGTGGACAATGATTCAATTTTTTTTCGTTTTAACTGTTTATATAAAAAGTTTTCATTATTTTTTAAATACGATTTAAATTTAAAATATAAAAATAACAAAATGAAAAGATTTGGGATAGCAATGAAGAAAGATTACCTAACTACGCGAGATACCACGCCCCATTCGAGATGGCGATGAGGGACATGTACCGTCAAAATATTATATACCGTCAAAAACTTATTATTAAATGATAACTGAGTTATGAGATAAAATGTTAAGTCAACTCAACAATTAATTTTAACTACGTATTTCATAATAATAAATAAAAAAAATATGATTATAATTTGAACTATGTCAACATGTCAATTTATTTTTTACTGTACTTTGGGCCAATTAATTGTAGAAAAAATCATTTTAGTTTGTAAAAGCTTCAAGTATATTATCATTTTACATGAGTCGGATAGTGAACATTCTCAAAACTAGAAATAAAGGAGGTTGTCGTGGTATTTTAAATGTGTATCTCTCTTAATTATTTATTTTCTTTTTAATTTATTTAAAAAATAAATTATTTTGTCTATTTGATCTCTCCAAAAACATTCTACATGCACAACAATATTCTACTTGTGCTCACGTGCATTTCAAACATGGAATTGACAAATAATACACTTTTAATTTTAGAAAAAATCATTTTAGTTTGTAAAAGCTTCAAGTATATTATCATTTTACATGAGTCGGATAGTGAACATTCTCAAAACTAGAAATAAAGGAGGTTGTCGTGGTATTTTAAATGTGTATCTCTCTTAATTATTTATTTTATTTTTAATTTATTTAAAAAATAAATTATTTTGTCTATTTGATCTCTCCAAAAACATTCTACATGCACAACAATATTCTACTTGTGCTCACGTGCATTTCAAACATGGAATTGACAAATAATACACTTTTAATTTTTTAAAAATGGAAAATTTGGAAATAATGAATTTATCAATGACGGAACCAAGAATCTATTTTGGAATGGCAAAATTTAGAATAATGCTATCAAGTACCAGTGGTGCTTTAGGCGACTTTATATTTAAGGGCTTGTTTGTGGGAGATTTTAATCCAATTAAAATTGAAAATATAGCAGTTATTGGGTCCCACCCGTCTAATAAAAGTCAACAATAACGGCTAGTTTTTCAATTTTAATCCGATTTTAATCCCTCCCAAACAAGTTTTAAATGAATCTATCATTTATTATCATGTAATTGCCACCTAAATTGATACTTATCACCGGCGACGATAAATAATATCACTACAAAGATTATCTCGATACAATGTTTTAAATACAATAGTAATGCATCGGTATAGCCGACTAATTGTCCAAAGACTCTATGAAGCTCAGGTTACACGAAATCAACAAGAAATTTCCTACAAGTTATTGACAATTAATGAAGATTGTGACATATAGTCGACTAATTGTCCAAAGACTCTATGAGGCTAAGGTTACACGAAATCAACAAGAAATTTAATACAAATTATTAACAATTAATGAAGATTGTAACATATAGTTGACTATTAGTGTCCAAAGACTTCGAAAGCAAAGCAACTAATTTTACACTCGCTTTGATGCATTATTGTTTGAATAGCTTCACCATTCAATAATTAATAATTACACAGGGCGTGCTCGATTGTGTCTAAAATTCAATTAAAATCGAAAATATAATCGTTATTGGATCCCACTTGTCTAATAAAAGTCAACAATAATGACTAATTTTTCAATTTTAATATTTACAGAACACCTCCACAGTATCGTGCATTTAATTGATTTTAGTTTTTTACTTCTTTGATATATATTTTTTAATTGAGTATTCGGTAAGCTAAAATATTCACGTAACTTGATTTTAAGATATTAAATGTTCGTTCGGCATAGTTTTTGAGAAGTCAAATGATGTTTTGAGATTCAAAAGTTGGTTCTGGATCGTCGATTGATTTTATAAAAATATTTCTTCTAGCACAAGATTTTTTATAGAAAGTTGACTAAATGTGACTCTCACTGAAAACTTTTTCGGAAGATTTTTTTTAATTAAAAATTAATTTTCAAACATTAATCAAGGTTAGTTTATTAAAAAAAAAAAAAACTATTTTAGATGATTAATTTCATTAACAGGGAGTAATTATTTTCAATATAAGATATTAATTAAGTGCAATTGTTCATAAATTCCAAGATTGATGGAACAAAATCATAAAAATGGCGGGAAAGCCAAAATAGAGACTTACAACGATCCAGCCTCAAAAACTCCTTAATTCTAGGACTCTCTTTCTCCCCGTTCCCCATTTTCAACTTCTTCTTCTTTTTTTTTTTTTTTTTGTTATTAAATTTTCTTGTCAAGTTTGCAGCAAATAATAATTTATTGACGTTCATAGGCATTTTGCAGGGGAGAACCATTCAAAATTCAACCCTTCAGATCATCCAACATGTTATGATATAAAAATAATTCAAAGTCATTGTGTTTTGAGTGAGAAATCGAAGAATATCAAGATCTGATAACATGGGCAGCTACAATTACTACAAAATGTTTGGTTGTTTCAACCGGAAGTTCAAGATCAGCGAGAAGGAGCCACCGCTGGACGTGAAGGAGGCGTTTCTCCGGTACTCGGACATGGGTCCCAATGAGCCATACATGACGTCAGATCAGCTGCTGAAGTTCCTTATCGAGTATCAAAAGGAGGAAGATAGTACTTTTTCTGATGCCGAAAGGATCACAGAACAGATCTTCCAGCGCTGCCATCACACAGCCTGGCGCCCCGGCCTTACCCTCGACGACTTCTTTTATTTTCTCTTCCAGGATGATCTCAATGGCCCTATTAAACCTCAGGTATTTTTTACATTTGTTTAATGTTTTCTTGTGATTTTGTATTTGCGAAATATTTGAAGTAATTTACATTTGTTTGATGGTTGTAGGAGTACTTGAATAGGATTTCTGAGCCTCTGAATGTTTCATAACGATCTAGTAGTGCTAATAATTTCCGTTAGGGGTATAATTGTTGTCTTATCAAGTATTACTATAAACCAGGACATTTATGGGAGTATTTTTGATAGAGGAATGAAATATGTGACCATCAAAAATTTTTTTTTTTGATGAAAATGTTTTACCAAGCAGATAGAGAAGGTAGAAACAGCTTTTGAATGGTTTATATTGTGTTCAAATCATATGGTAACAGCTAGAAATCCATCCCTAACAAATAAATAACGAGCTAATAGAACCACAGGAAGATGAATGAGATAACTCAGTAAGAATATTCTTCCAAGAATTTAGTAGTTTGAAATAGAGAGAGATCCATTTTTGGTGAAATTCAGACAATGAGAGAGGAAGCACTTCTTCCACTAGGAAATCCGTGATAAATATACCGTATCTCGTTTCTAGGCCCAACGTTGTTTATACAGTGGAAAAGATCTTTGTAAGTATACATGATTCTTAACCAGTAACTCTACTATTTTCTTTATTTAACATGTCTTGAAATTTTGTTTTCAAAGAGTTTTTATGTTTCAAGAGTTATAATATTTTACCAATCTAGGTCAGTTGAGAATTTTTTTTTTTATAAACAGCCATACTAACCCCAGTTTGATAATTTTTTTTTTTTTTTGGAAAGAATGAGTTTTCGAATAGTAAATTTTGGGAGAATACGTAGTTAAAAAGTAAGGAAAAGTTTTGGGTTTACGTGAAGAATATTTTATTATGAGCATGTGTGGTGGGAAATGAGTATGGCAAAGAAAGAATGAGAAAGAATGGTTATCAAACAGGTGCTAAGTTAATTAAACAGGGGGAATCTTCATTGAATAAGTAGATAGTAATTGTTGGTTGCAGTTTGAAGAAATACTTGGATTCCACCTGAGTTGATGTTCTTACTTTGTTAAGTTTACCGTATATTATCATACCTTTTCTTCAGACAACCTGCAGTTGAGGCATTTTTTAGATTGTAGAATGCATTTTGTATGAGCCAGTCAATTGAATGGCTGTTTAATCATTTCAAGTAGAAAATAATTAGAATTTATGCAGAATTAATTCAGACTTTTTGAGTAGAATGAGTTCAGATTTACCTTGGCTTTGTTTACAATTCCAGGTACACCATGATATGACTGCTCCATTGCAACACTATTTCATATATACAGGTCACAATTCCTACTTAACTGGAAATCAATTGAGCAGTGATTGTAGTGAAACCCCAATCATAAAAGCTCTAGAAAATGGTGTGAGGGGAATAGAACTTGATTTGTGGCCGAATTCTGCAAAAGATAATGTGCATGTTCTTCATGGAAGGTATGGTAAGAATCTATATTCTTTTATTTATGTTTATGCTTCCATTTTGCTGCAATTTATCAAGAGGCTTTATCTCATGGAAGTGAATATAAAAGTCACGTTTCCTCTACTAGAAAGACTGCATAACGTGTTTGTGAATTGCACCCTATGTGTATAAATTTCAGTATGAATTCTATACTCTATTAAATCACTTGCAGAACCCTAACAACTCCAGTGCTCCTTCCCAAATGCTTGAAGTCTATTAAAGAACATGCTTTTGTTAAATCTCCCTACCCCGTTATAATTACTTTAGAGGACCACCTTACTCCAGAGCTTCAGGCTAAAGTTGCAGAGGTTAGATTTTTTTCACCCTTACGGACTACATTTTGGAAGTAATTTTCATTTACGAACTGGGAAAGGAACTTCTTTATTTATTTATTTTTTGTTTGTTCTAGATGGTTATGCAAATTTTTGGAGATATGCTGTATTACCCTGAGTCTGGATGCTTGGAAGAATTTCCTTCACCTGAAGAGTTAAATCATAAAATCATTCTCTCAACCAAACCACCCAAAGAGTACCTTGAATCAAAGAATATCAAGGATCAAGAAACTTCCTTATCGATGGAGGACTTTGACGATGACCTAGATGAAACCAAAGCTGATTACAAGGTAAAAAGCAGACAAAGAAAGATAAAAGAGTTATTTTAATCTGTTTTCAGTTAAGATGCTAATGTGCTTTATTTTCATCTTAAACATCAGAGTGATAGTGATCAAGATGACGAAGACAATGACGGCTATCATCAAAAATCAGGCAGCCCGGCAGCACCACAATACAAGCATCTGATTGCAATTCATGCTGGCAAGGCAAAACGTAGCCCGAGGCATTCATTAAGAACCAGAATTGATAAAGTTAATAGACTTAGTTTGAGTGAACAAGTACTTGAAAAAGCTGCATCATCTTACGGAAAGGATGTCGTGAGGTAGTTTTTAGTTACACAAATACTTTTTCATTACATTGCACAATCATTTTGAATAGGCATCATTATAAGCCAATTCTTGTATTTTGAAGACTTTCATGATTGACAAATTTTTTCTTTTAATTTTCCATATCATTTGAAGGTTCACCCAAAAGAATATTCTGAGAGTGTTTCCTAAGGGAACACGAGTAACTTCAACAAATTTTAAGCCAATTACTGGATGGATGCATGGAGCTCAGATGGTTGCCTTCAATATGCAGGTTAGTTTAGAAACCTTGGCATCACATGTACCATGACAGTCATGCTTTGTATTTGGCTGCACTTTGATGTGTTTTCTATCACCCTGGTAGATTTTTCGAAGCTCATTTTACTTTTTTAGCTCTTTAATTTTTCAATAGTTGGAAACTCCTTTATACTTATCTGGAAACCTATTAAAATTTCACTGGAGATTTGGCCTGTGGCGGTGGGATGATTTATAACACTAGTTGGAAATTACTTTATACTTACCTTTAGCCTTTTACTTTTTATTCAAATGTTGTGCGTGACAAGATAATAATCTTCCCGTTTAAGGAAAAAATACTCTTATCACATTAATATTTCCTAAACTAGCTGCATGAAATTCTTCTCAATAGTTGATACTAAGTATGCATAAAGTCCGATCAAAAGAACTAAAAAATGACGAAAAGAAAAGGTCGTGGATATTATATGACTTTGGAGTCTTTTGCGCAAGGGTCAAGTTATATGGAGTTTTATCTTCAATAAGTAAACAAAAAAAGTTTGGCATAAGAGCCTCTAAAGCTTGAGCAAAGAAAGAGGAAAGACCTCTGTGCACATGGTACAAGAAACTCAAAAAGAAAGAGGTATTGCAATAATATTTTTTTATATCTAATTAATAAGTCACAACTTATTGTATTTATTTTTTACATAAGTGGTGTATAACTGTAATTGTATCCATTTTATGCTGCTTTGTTATGAATATCTTTGTCATCATAGAAACCTAATGTTTGATTATTGATACATTTTTTGTAACTTTGATAAAAACTAACTTGTGCTTATAATTTTTTATGGAATGTAAATTTTTATTTGATTATTCTGACCACCGGTTTGACCCTTGGCAAAGGAAAGGATGCTTTTCGGTTACCAATTTATTTTACCTTTAGTCAAGATCGACATTTCGGGAAATAAATTATTATTAGATAGAAACATTGTAGTTTTTGAATTTGCATGAGCTATTGGGTTCAAATATTGGCAAAAGTGCAAGTGACCAGAACACTTCTGTAGATCATTTTCTCGTTGCACTGGACAGTTTCACCTTTCTTCTCTTGGTCATTTTTTGGGTGTATCATGCGTGTTGTTGCTTTGATCTTATGGTTTACCTTTCCCCTATTCTTGTTAGGACGTTTTCTTTTTTATCAACCCTGCACATCCACATTTTGTAACTACATGTGGCTATATTCTTTATATATTTTCTTTCATTTGAGTAACTTGCCACCCGGTGTTGGTTGGGGATGGGTGGTTGCTAGGGGGGTTTGAATGTGGTATGGTTCAGTTTTTGGAGCACGTATTTCAATCCTAAGGTGGTGTGTTGGCGTTCAACACTTTTCAGAACCAACACACGGACATGATGGGTTGCATCCCCCCCTTTTTTTAAATTTCCGACAACGAGACGCACACAAACCTGTTAAGCTGCTTAGCCTGTCCTAAATGCTTCATATTTTTCCAATTTCTAACCTGTTAAGCTGCTTAGCCTGAAGCCTAATTTTGTGAAAATTGGAGCATAAAATCAGAGAAATTTTGACTATTAAATCATTATGTACTTTTTTGATATATGAATATATTTATCTCGTTAGTAGTAGCTAAAAATGCACAACCTGAAGTCATATTAACCATTAGCATCCACCCAAACTTAAAAAAGATTATAATTTTACTATTCAGACCTTATTAGATCCCCATTTTTATCAAAATACATTTTTTCCCTCTTCTTTTCAATCATACATTTTTCAATAAAATAATATTACACACAATACAAAAACTTTTCCTTTATTTTTGTTCACACATTCTCCATAAATCTACTATTTCAAAATATATTCTACACAAAAAATGGGGCTCAAATAGGCCCTCAATAACATTTCTTTGATACTTTTTTATTTGCGTTACAAGGATCAACCAGTATGCGTTTTCTTTAGCTTATGTCCAAATAAGCTTGTAATTCGCGTTGGATTTTTATCATGTTTTTATCTAACAGGGATATGGAAAATTTCTTTGGATGATGCACGGAATGTTTAGATCCAATGGAGGTTGTGGTTATGTGAAGAAACCTGATTTACTTATGAAGACATGCCGAAGCAATGAGGTATTTGATCCAAAATTACCATGGCCGGTGAGACAAACTTTAAAGGTGAGTAAAATGTTGGCATAGAAGAGTTCATTGGTCTGATAGTATAGTTTTAGTAGCCATTTTACTTGACAGGTGACTGTGTACATGGGAGACGGATGGCGTTTGGATTTCAGTCATACGCACTTTGATTCATTTTCACCACCAGACTTCTACACGAAGGTCAGTAGGAGTATCTTTAGTAGTTTAGTGAGAGATTATAAGAATGAGAAAGTGAATTGAATTCTGAAGCTGTGTATATGCATTAACTAGCATTAAATGGTTTACCAAATATTATTGAATGTTTAGTATATGGCTTTTAGCTTCTGAAATTCTAGATTCTAAGGTTGGTACCACTGTATATACCGTGCAGAGCTCTCCTTGCAGTATCCTTACCTCACTACGAGATTCCCTTGCCTATTTAGAGGCCTAGGAATAATTGCTTCTTGGTTGGACCTTTTCTTTTGGTAAAACTGAAAGCGTAGCCGATTATATTTGAGATTACTAATTAATACTACTGATATTTTAGAAACAACGGATGGTATAACTCACAATTGTAGATAAGAAATATTTAGCTTCAATCCAATAGCGTCAAGAATACTCAATAGTGGATGGGTTTTTATTAGCTCACTTAATTCAATTCACAATGGAAGTTATCAATAGACTAATAGCGCAGTGAATGACATTATTGCTTGATTAGCTAGTTAAGTTGGTTTTCTGAACCCTTTAAACTACATCTTAGCGTTTTCTCAAAATCCTCTTCCATAATTTCATATTTATACTAGTGAGCTTAATAACTCTACAATTTGTAAAACCTTGGATCTCTCTTTTATTCTTATAAATAGGAACCATGATACATTTACTCAATACATCCGGTGTATTTTTACTCTTTAGGATCTCGATGAACAATTTTATGAACCATATAATACCTAACTCACCCAAACAATTCCATGACTGAAAATTCCATCTTGGTCAATTGGTTTTCTCATCCTCTTACACTTATAGCACCTCACTTCTGAAAATTGATTTTTCTAGTATAACTAACATTCCAATCTATAGTGGAGTTGGAGAAATTCCCAATACCATGCTGATGCATAAAGTTTATAAGGCTTGTTTTGTTGTCGGTTTATAATAGCAATTTGCTGCCTGAAGTTTTGTAAGTTCATACACGAATCATACAAGTTGCTCCTGGAGCAACCATAATATGGTTGCACTGCTGAGAGAGAGTGGGAGCCTCGTCTTCCTTAAGTAGAAGGGCCTTAAGTGATATTTTCAAGTGCTGTTTTTTCCTTACACTAACTTCAAATGTGCAAGAAATGTATGACATCCTTTCTGCCATTACACATTAGTCCACAAGTTTCAAGGGCAGTAGAACTTAGTACATTTAGCTTGTCAGGTTGATAGTCAATATTTTTGAGCTCTTAGTGAATTGGAATGGCAGGTTCACATAATAGGTGTGCCGGCAGACGCTGCCAAGAGAAAAACAAGGATAATTGAAGATGATTGGGGACCTAATTGGAATGAAGAATTTATATTCCCGTTGAGAATTCCAGAGCTGGCTTTACTACGGATAGAAGTACGTGAATATGATATATCCGACAAGGATGATTTTGGAGGGCAAACGTGTTTGCCCGTCTCAGAATTGAGACCTGGCATAAGGGCTGTCCCGTTATACGACAAAAAGGGTCAGAAATTCAAATCCGTGAGGCTTCTAATGCGGTTCAAGTTCGAATGATCCATTGAGACATAACTTGTGTTCACTTCTATTTCTCTATTGTACAGTTAATGTCGAAATTTTGGAAACAGAAAGGAAGAAACTCGTTTTGTTGTATGGATGTTTCACAAGTTACTTTTCATTGGTAACTAACTTTTTAAGGTAAAACTATGCTCCTTGGTTAATATTAACATATTTTTTTGTGAAACACTGTCCATTCCATTTAGCAAAATTTGTGCACAAGGACTTGCAGCATGTCAGGCTAAGTTCAAAAAATGTTGAGCAAATGGATTTTTTTAAAGCAGACTTTTAAGCATGGCCAAACATGCATTCTTAATGACGATCTTTAATGTTTCTGTAAGAATATTTCAATTGGTTCCTCAAAGAAAATTTCTTCATGTTGAGTACTGGTGGTTGCATCAAGTCATTTTCCATTCCCATTTGTTTTTCTTAAATATAGGTTAATATATATATATA